TTGCAGCAGGGATTTGTTTCCTCTTTTGAGCTACTGCATTTATAGGTGTAGGTAGAATTTTGTTTCTTGAGGCCAGAGCTCAGTGCCAGCCCTGATTAGAGGCTCTGAAGGGCTCAGGACTGCTTTCTAGATTAGCACAGACAGAAAGGGAGTTGTTGGACTATAGACACGTGCTGTGTAAAGGTGACTGTGTAAGGGCTCTGGCCTCCTAAATCCTTAATAGTCCAGTCCTCAGTCACTGAATCAGTATGTTTGGGCTTTCTCCCTGGAGCACTCTACTACACCCAAATTGTTGTTGTTGTTGTTATGTGCTGTGGAGTCGGTTCTGACTCAGGGCAACCCTGTACAGGGTTTCCGAGGCTGTAAATCTTTACGAGAACAAAAAACCTTATCTGTCTCCTATGGTACAGCTGGTAGTTTCGAACTTCTGACCATGAGATTAGCAGCCTGATTCATAAACACTGTGCTACTGAGTTAGAGCTACACACAGCTAGATGGTCTGAAATCTTCAAACAGAAATCCAAGTGCCAACTATTTGCCTTACTTGACCCTAGAAGGCTGATGATGTTCTACTCTTTCCTGAGATTTCCTGTCTCAGAAGTCTCTCTAGTTGATTTAAAATATGGAAAAAGGAATAGAAAGAAAAAAAAAAATCACTCTGTTGGATCTAGGCTGAGGCTTTCTTACCTTCTTGATGTTTACATTTCTCTTACGTGGTGGCAAGGGTTGATAATTTGGAAGGAAGGGTAGCAAAAGCAAGAAAAGCCCCACTCCACATACGAATGCCAAAATAATATCAACGAGCCAAGGAGAGCTGTAGGTCAGCAATGTAGCACTAAGACTTTCCAGAGGAAAGAAACCATTCTCCATCGCTGAAGCCAAAATTGCTCTGACAGCTGGGCACTATAAGTACACTCAGGCTAAGCTCAGACTTGCATCATAAAGCAGAGCATCACAAAGGGTTCTTGATGGTGGGGGAGGGGACAAGAGGAGCCTGAACTCACAGCCCTTCTCTTTAACCATACATGGTCATCAGATCCCTCTAACCTTCTCTGTTGATTTTAAGTGCTATTAGGTTGGTTCCAACTCATATTGACTCTGTACAGAGTTTCTGAAGAGTCGCTGGTGCTAGTGAGTGCTTATCCTACAGTGCCACACTAGAACTACCCTTCCTTGGACTTTCCAAACTCTTCATCTAATCCTATCATAGACTCCTGGTGTGATGCTAATCCTACAGGATTAGCACTAGACTGTGAACAAGATTGGTGGTTCAAACCCACCAGCTGCTCCTTGTGAAACAATAGCGCTACCTGAAAACTCAGAATTTCCCACAGCCATCACAGCTCCCCTGGCAGGAACAAGCCTCACAGGCATAACTCCCCTGGCCTCAGGGGAGATAAAACAGACACAAGCTTCACAGACGGTGTTTATTGTGTGATTATAGACCCAGGCCATTCCTTAAAGCAATTAGCTAGGAGCTCTGGTAGCATAGTGGTTATGAATCGGGCTGCGAACCACAAGGTCAGCAGTTTGAAACTACTAGCTGCTCTGCGGGAGAAAGATAAGGCTTTCTGCTCCAGTAAAGATTTATAGCCTCAGAAACCCTGTACAGGGTCACTATGATAGGGTCACTATGAGTCGGAACTGACTCCACGGCCCATAACAACAACAACAACAACAACAATGGACATCAAAGATCCTGGCACCAATGTGACTGATTTGCGGCCTTGTTAGTTTGCCTATGCAAACTGATCTATAATTTTGTTATTCTACCTATGTAAACTGATTTGTAGCCTTGTTGCCCTGACCTTGTTAGCTGTTATCTAGTCTCCCTATTAGCAAACTAACTTGCTACTTTTGCTTCTGTACTCCCTGCTTCAGCGAATTCCTTTAGATAAGCCCCTAAACCCTGAGCCAGGAATGTAGCCTATATAAACTAGCAGCCAGCTCCCTAAGACACGGCAGACTTAGGATAAGCGATCGTCTCCCTGCCGTCCGGCTATAGCTGTCTGTTGTGCCAATAAAATTCACTAAATTGGACATTATAGCGGTCATCATCCTTCTTTGGGACTTGAACCGGTAACATATGGTGGCTTGTCCGGGATGGCCACTGTGTCCTACAGCCTCTAACCGTCAGCAGCTCCTGGGAGAAGAGACCTCTAGGGGGCGCCCCCTGAAGACCTTCCAGGGCCCCAGGCTCCCGACTCCCTGTTTTAGAGTTTGCTGGGAAGACACATATAATCTGCTCGAAGGCACCTGATCCTCCGGAGGAAAAGCTGTCTGAGAAACGGGTCTCCCTGTTTGGCCAGGGAAAGAGGGCCGAACACGGCAAGACTCTTCCCCGCATCTTCTCACCGGGACGCGGCTTGAGAAGCCTGGTAAAGTTCCTGTACTTGTCTTGGGTTGTCTGGATTGACTGTATTGTCTAATAGTGTTTGTTTCTCCCCAGATCTTTCTTTACTTCTCCCCATGTCTCTCACCTCCTTCTTGTCTTGTCTCTCTCTCTTATATACTTCTTCCCTCGAATACTGATTTTTTTGCTCTAGGACTCTTCACTACTGCTCCTGCCGAGTGGACTGCCACCCAGAAGACCCCTTTTTGTTTCTTTACCTCCTCCTTTGTCTCATTTTTCTCGGCCTCACGTGCGGCCGAATTTAAATGAACAGTGTATCTGCTAACTTCCTCTCCATACAGTTTTATCTCTTTATAAAAGACATTCTGCAAGATATATCTTAGTTTTACCCCTCTAAGTGGGACTTTGAGAGTCTTAAGGAGTGAATATTCAACCTCACCATTCAGGGAACCTTGCAAGACTTTGAACCCTGGGAAATAGATTTCTTCTTACTTGTTCTTATCTGCTTAAATCATCATGGGAGGGTTGTATAGTAAGAATAGCACCCTTACCCCCCTGCAGTGTTTGCTAAAGAACTCCCAAACTGCTTTCTCTGATGACTATGGTATTAGATTCAGCCCAGGCCGCCTCAGAAACTTCTGTGAATTAGAGTGGCCCTCCCTTGATGTGAGATGGCCCGATATTGACACATTTGACCCCCACATCACTAAAGCCATTTGGGATCAAGTGGGTGGAGACCCCAGGACATCCAGATCAATATCCCTATATAGATGTCTGGTTAAGCTTAGTCCCCAACCCCCCTGAATAGTTGAAAAAAGTGTGCCCAGCCAGCAGGCCTAAGAATTATGCTGATAACCACATAGAAAAAGGGGTGCGGGGATTTGGGCAATCATTGCTTTTCAGGATGCCAATTTGGGATGACTGCCAGCAGACTTTAGTGGTATTGTTTACAGCCAAGGAGAGGAGCAGAATCTGTCAAGAAGTCCAAAAAGCAGTTATTATTCCTCTGGGGGGTATTAAAGAGGAAAATAGGGATAAGATCGAAGAATAATTTCCTCATAGGAGGCCAGACTGGGACCCTAACACTGGGGAGATTTTGCGCTCTCTAAAAAGCTATCAGCAGTACTTATTAGCTGGTATCAAGGGAGCAAGTCAGAAGCCCACCAACCTCTCCAAAGTGACCTGCGTCACCCAGAGTGATGGCGAGTCCCCGATGCATTTCTAGAAAGGTTGCTAGAGGCATATGGAACTTATACACCCTTTGATCTTGAAACCCGATTCGTAACCACTACCCTACAATAGCTTCCCCTAAATCTGCCATGTCGCAGGGAGCTGGCTGCTAGTTTATATAGGCTACATTCCTGGCTCAGGGTCTACGGGCTTATCTAAAGGAATTTGCTGAAGCAGGGAGTACAGAAGCAAAAGTAGCAAGTTAGTTTGCTAATAGGGAGACTAGATAACAGCTAACAAAGTCAGGGCAACAAGGCTACAAATCAGTTTGCATAGATAGACTAACAAAACTATAGATCAGTTTGCATAGGCAAACTAACAAGGCTGCAAATCAGTCACATTGGTGCCAGGATCTTTGAGGTACATAGTTAAGTCAATTGCTTTAAGGAATGCCTGGGGTCTATAATCACACAATAAACACCATCTGTGAGGCTTGTGTCTGTTTTATCTCCCCTGAGGTCAGGGGAGTTAATGCCTGTGAGGCTTGTTCCTGCCCTATCTGCCTCAAGGCCAGGGGAGCTGTGATGGCTGTGGGAAATTCTTAGTTTTCAGGTAGCTCTATTATTACATATCCCCCCCCCCCGTTTTTATGGAAATAAATCATTGATTCTTCGGTATCGGTTATAGTCTTTAAGGTAGCATACTGAGATCGCAACACCATGAGTTTCACAGCTCCAATTTGGTTTCGTATAAATTTGATCAGGGCATTCAGGACACAGGGTCCGATCAAGAGCCCGAGTATGAGAAGCATGAGAGGGCCAGCTAATCCAGTTACAAGAGTCGTGACACAAGGGGACCAGTTGAATAGGGTTTGATACCAATTTTGGATGGAGTCTAGCTGCTTATTTCTTTTCTCTATACTCTCTCTGACCACTGCTAATGTCTCTCTAATTACTCCAGTTTTAATGGCATAAAAATAACATTCTTCTCTTAGGGCAGCGCAAAGTCCTCCTTGTTGTAAGAATAGGAGGTCTAATCCTCTTTGATTTTGGAGAGCGACTTCAGCAAGAGATTCAATCTGGTCAGACATTTCAAAAATTGAATCTTCTAACTGGCTTAAGTCAGCATTTATTGCTTGGGACAGGCTATTAAACCCATGCCCTTGTGTTGCTAAGGCTGAAATACCTAAGGCTGAGGATCCAGTAATTCTTAATCCTACTAAGAAAGGGATTAGGATGGGAACTCGGGGGTAATGGGTACAGTTTGGAGCTGTGATCAGAGCTAGCTCCTGGTCACCTCCATATATATCAATATGAGGAAACAAGTACACAGGGATACATAATTATGAACAGACAGTGGAGAAGGTATAAGTGGATATACAATTAGTAAAGCTAAAGGAGCATGTGAACCAAGTTCTGGGTGTAGAGGGGTAATACCTTACTGTGCCATTGTAAGCTAAGTAGACTATCTTAATAAAAATCTTTGAAAGCGGGACTGGGTTTCATCATAGGTGGCTGTTACAAACCAAGTACCTTGTCTTTGTATATCTCTTAAGGTGACATGGAGGATTTGGGCAGAACACTCGTTGTTTGATGGGGGGGCTGGAGTAGTTGGGTGCTGACCTGGTGTAGAAAGGGGGTCTGGGGTCTAAGCACATCTAACAGCCTGTGCTAGGTCAGGGTTGGTGGCATTTAACATGAAGTATGCCTGTTTAAATATATTGTATTTGCTGTTGTTCTTTTAATTAGGGTCTATAAACATTTTTTTTTCTGGGGATACTTCCAACTATGTGTTTTGGGAAGAGACAGCAATAACCAGATTACAATCATGTGCGCGCCAGTCTTAGCTTTAGAGGACACTCCAGATCTTTGACGGCTTGCCTTGCTGTGCTGAGGAGCTGATCTGCTTCTCTCAAGGCTGCTAAAACAGCTCTGGCTATTGCTTTCTTCCTGCTTCCCCGGGAGGGTCTCTATTATTGTAGACTTTTCTGGCTATTTCTACTAATTCTGAGAAATTCTTTCTATCAAACCCTTCTAATTTCTACAACTTCCATCTAATATCAGTGCTGATTGAATAACAAAAGCCAAGTTGCTGGATAATAAAGTATGTCTATTTCCAACCTTCTGATGAAGCACCTTATTGCCTTCCAGAGAGATTGGACCATTTTGCAATCCCACCAGCAATGCAGGAGTGTCGCAGTCTCTCCACAACCCTGCCAGCATTTATTGTCCTCTACTTTTTTGATCTTT